CTAAAATAAGGAGCAGGAATTGTAAAAGGTAGTGAATAGGGCTAGTGAAATATTTACCACATCATCCTTCAAGTACCAGTACAACTACTAAAATAATGTCACTGCTATCTGTGTTACCATCGGAGTAGACAGAGAGTCGTGAGCCAGAAGATTTGGTTCCGCATGGCTAGTGCTGTCGCCACAGACTGGTCAGGTTAGGATGTATAATTTCACTTGCCGACAGAAGAACGCCATAACCTTAGCGGCGGTCTTCACATGAGAGCACTATGGTGTAACAGCCCAACCACAACTATTACTGCTGCTGCTACTTTAAGTGGGTAAAGCAGTTACTGTGACTTAAAGCTCTCTCAGTTAATAGTTTGCCCCCCCCCCCCCCCAAATTCACCGACAACTCTTTCCCACATTGAAGTAGTTGGGAGAAAAAAAAAAAAACACTTGAAAAGCAAATGAACACAGGAAAAAAACACCATAATTAGGAAATGAACGCCATTGTAAACAGCACAGCTTAAAATTCCAACACAGATAAAATAACTAAATCTAAATGAAAATCTATAAAATTTCAGCGTAACCATGCAATCGGAAAGTTTAACAATGCAATCATAAGTATGCGAAATGGTCAAATTTAATTATCAAATGGTTTACCCATTTACTTGTTTTTTTTTTTTTTTTAAATATTAAGGCACCATGGCTAGTGCTGTCACCACGACAGAGCAGATGAGGATATTATTTTAGTCCGGGGTAAAAATAATAAATTTAACTACTGCGGATTCGAACCCAGGTCTACCGCACTTGAACCCAGTGTTCTAACCATTCGACCAAGCAGCCACTTAATCGGAACAACGAAAAGAGAACACAACTATTAGACATATGTGTCCCTACCACTGTGTCGCGATTAAAACACAATTCAAATCCGCAGGCAATTGTTTTCTCGTAGACAGATACTCCAGATATATTAATGAAATAAAAATCGCACGTGTCTAACACGGTTAATGAAGTTAATGTCGCAGTCACTGTCTGCGCCGACGTCGAGATAGTCCTCGATTGCTCCCCCCCCCCCAATCGAAGGTTGTTTGAAAAAAAAACAGAAAATAGAAATCGTGTTTAATATAGTTATTGTGGCAAATATAGAGATAGTCTTGTTTGCTGTACCACGACCTACTCTATGTATTAATATTAGAGAAGGCGTTGGCTGCACGTAACTCGCCGGCTAATGGTAAATACGGCGCATGCGCAATTACTAACGTGGCTATAATTAGAAATCACTAAAGCTATAAATATTAGTTGCGTATATTATCGCATAAATTGTGGTCACCTATCTCTAACAGTGACAGGTTGAATTTCAAACCACGACGGTTCAAAATCCGGTATCACAACAAACATATCCTGAAAATTTCAGCTAAATCGGTTCAGTAGTTTCCGAGTCTATAGAGACCAAACAAACACACAAACATTGATTTTTATTTATATAGATTATTACTATTACTATTATGATAACTATGATGGCGCTGATACTCCATAGGAAGTCTTTTCGGCAATTGTCTTGAGCAATGCTTGGCAATAAATGACTTTTTAAACCCAACTGTAATGTTAACTTAATCTTGTTCTTTCATTTTCTTCTTCCTCTTTTGCGTTTTCCCTTGAAAGGGTAGTTGGCACGTTGTGTTGTGATTTACGGCTAGACTGCGATATCTGCACTATCTGCCTTACACGTCCAATTTCAGCAAGCTCCTAATTATCTGCCTTCTACGACATGTTTGTCAAGGGGGCACTCGGTCTGTTCTCTTCCTCCCAAAATGAGGTCAGCTAACCCCCACGTGGACAACGTTAGGAAGCATTTCAAATATGCAGTCTTTCATAAAACAGTCATCAAGTTTCACTTTTGCCGCTACGCAGCGTGGAGAGGGGCAGTGTGCGATCCATTGCTTGATAGGTCGCAATGACTATGGGCATTCGTTGCTCATGGAGAAGCTCCGTAATGTCATCAGTCCATTATCTCCTCGGGCAACCTCTTGCTTTCTCATCAGATCTATTTATGTGTACCATGTGTGTGCGGAGTTATTCTGGCTGCATTCTAACGAGATGGCCAAACCGTTTGATCTTCTGTTTCTCAGTGAATTTAGTGCATGGTATTTCACAGAACAATTATCAACAATATTACAGGGTTTTTTATTTTGCATTTCAGGGTTTCTATAGGAGATCGGGAGTTTGCCTAGCTCTTCACGTGACTCCGGATCGTCCTTCAGGCTGGGAGTACTCAGTAGCTGTGTTTCTTGTGCTCAACTTTGTCTCATTTTTACTGATCGCATTCTCATATTTATGGATGTTCACTGTTGCTAAAAAGACCAGAAGTGCTGTGAGGTAAGTTCTTTATGGCTGATGATCGACCGTTCAGTTTTCCCAATCTTTGTCCATAGAACACGTTAACAGTGCGGATTTGTCCATAGAACAGGTTGACAGTGCGGAGGCACAAAAAGATCGCCACGGTCTGGCTGGAATGATGCAGCGCGAAGTGACCAGAAAATCTGACCAACGCTCAACAGTCAAGGAAGGGCGAGACGGACATACGCTGTCACTGGCACCATCGGAATTAGAGCTTTCTGCTTGCTGCCAAAATTGGTAAAGAGAGTTGTGGGAATATTCTGAGGACTCGTCGCTTCTCAAATGATAAAAGTAAATGATCAGTAGGTCTTGTTTAAGTGCTAAATATTAATAACAGTAATATACTAACCGGTAAATAAATCTAATAATCTATTTGAAATAATTTGACGTGTATACACACAAATACTGACGACAGCCTAGACCAGGGGTGCCGCGAGCGTACCTCAGGGGAAAGCTGCAAAAAATCAAGAATTTTTCAAAATCTGCATGAGACCTGCGAAGACTGCAGTTTAAAACAGAAATACCACGAAGGAAGCCAAGAAGAGTTCTGGATGCAGGTATATTCAGAAACCAATGCTATTGGCAACGCTGTAGTGCATTGTCAGCGTACGCTTACATTAGATAAAGGGAATAATGAAACCTTCATCCAGTCAGTTTAATGTATCGCATTAAAGACAACTAAACATTAAATATTAAACAGCATATAAAGTCTATGGTAAAGCACCAGCAAGGAGATCGAATTTAGAATTTTGAGAGCATGCATCTTCCCTGTGGCTACATACGGATGTGAGTCATGGACTATCTCTCAGTCCTTAAGAAGGAGAAAGGAGCTTTTGAGCTGCAATGCTATAGAGAAATTTTCAGAATATCTTGGACAAAGAAGAGGAGAGATACAGACATCTTGAAAGATCTGAACATCAAGGAAGATTGGCTAATTACCAGCATCCTGTCTCGGAAACTGAAAAATTTTGGAAAAAATAAAAGCAGAATGCATAGTACCAGAAAGGAGGGGTAGGGGCTAACCAACACGAAGGATATAAGTGACTCTGGCGAGAGACCGAGTTTCTTTCAGACAGACCGTGATGAGAGCGACGTACTGCAAACGACCTGATACATGATGATGATGACTTAAGAGGGAGTTGTAAACGGCATTACAAGTCTATGGTTAAACGCCAGCTTAGGTTTCAACATCGCTGTTCAAGTTATGTGAATCACTGGGTCAGTGTTTAAAATAAGATTCAATGAACAATAAACGTATGGCATGAAGACTCGGATTGACTGCCCAACCACACGAATTACGCGTAGCTTTTTCAGTAATCATCGGAAGAACTACAAAAAAGACAATATAGTTTGAAACTTTTTCAATACAAAAGCGCCTACACAAAGAAAATATTGGGGGGGGGGGGGGGGGGGGGGGGCTCAGCACTCATGTAGATTTAAAGGAGGGGGTGATTTGATTTGATGCTATATTTATTCATGATTGCAAAAGATCTATATTTTCCCGTAAATTTTGTTTAACAAAGTTTAGTATTAGTACAATAGACTTCAGTAGGTATGTTAACCACGCTTGTAAGTTTGCTGCAGTCTCTTGTGTGGGATGGCAGTCGCCGTTGCGTAGTGGCTAGACGCTCGCGTGCGGATCGGAAGGTTGTGGGTTCGCTCCCTGGCAGAGCCGGACTTTTCTTAGAAAAGATCTTGACTTCCAGATCGACCCAGCCTTGAATGGGTAACGGGTGCAGTCACGGAATTAAAGGCGGCCGGCGTGATGCTGACGACATTACCTATCTTGTGCCGATTGGTCTATAAAAAATGTAGGTCTAGCCCTATTTGCCCAGTACGCCTAAAGACGTGGAGAAGGGACCTTTTTTTTTCTTGTGCACTACGGTATTAAAGTCGATGAGAACGCCCGGATGCCGGGTTCGATTCCAGCTGCGGGTCATGCGCCCTGCGTTGGTTTCGACAGTGGTATCAATAAAGCCGACCGTTTAGAAAGCAATGGCAAACTACTTGACGTAAATTTGTCTAGAAAAACCATTTTGATCACCCATTGCCAAGGTATAGTCCTGGGAAGTAAAGGTGGTCAGCACGAAGGTGATCACCACATCATCCACCGATTGCTAGTGCGTCAATTTAAAAAAAAAGGAGTCTTGAAGAAGCGCCCACACAAAGAAAACATTGGAGAATTCCCCCCGCCCCCCCCCTCACTCCACAACCACTACCCCCCTCTTCGCCAATTTTTTCTTTTATAATTTCCTAATGGATGGGGGTTAGGGTTCGGCCAGCTTATGTCTTGTGCACAGTAATAATGAACTGTCATTATTTTGTCCGAATAGCAAAAAAGTATACTAGTATATTTCAAATATTACGACATATATTAGGAATACTTTAAGAAGCTAACGTTTATACGTTGTTAAGCGGGCCACTGCCCCCCCCCCCCCTTTTTTTTTTCCTAATTTGTGTGTGTGTATGTGAAAGGGGGCGGGGCTCTAGGTGCTGGAGCACCTATAGGTGATTATGGCGGCCCTGGAGCATAGCATCGTATGCCTTATGGGTCACAGTCGTTGAAAGGTCCCTTTACCGTTTTACTTCACAGGACAGCAGAGAGCAAAACAGACAATGCCATGGCACGTCGTATGACTTTGATAGTGTTGACAGACTTCTGTTGTTGGGTGCCCATTATAATCCTGGGCTTTGTTTCTTTGGCAGGTGCCAGAACCGATATACAGGTGAATGTTTGTCAGACACATTATCGTGTTACCTTCTTCTTCTATTGTTTTAAGCTAACATGTGTCAGACGTTCTCGCAGAGAATATTTAGATGTAGTTTCCTGTCTTGTTCTAGTTGCTTTGTTACACTCGTGCATAATTAGCTTTAACTCTTTGAGTCCCAGGGGTTTAGCATCACAGCCCCAGGGGGTAGTAAAGAAATTAATTAAATCAGCGGATCATGCGTTCATTGGGCTTCTATGTAGGAACCTATGAACGTATGGTGCGCTCCTTGGGACTCAAAGAGTTAATGCAATAGTTATCACCATGTACTTGTAGTATAGGTCTGGTTTAGGTTTGAACAAGGGATTACCCTCATGGCACACAGGTAGGAAATCAACGAAAACTCTAGACACAAAATTAGACAGTTTTGAAAATAAATGCCTTAGAAGAATACTAAATTTCAAATGGTCAGATTTCCGAACCAATACACAAATAAGGCAAGAATCCAGGCAAGAGTATGTGTCTAATTTTATACGAAAACGCCGCTGGAACTATGTCGGCCACGCCCTTAGAATGGATAAATCAAGACTTCCTTACCAAGCCCTCATTTGGACACCACAGGGGAAAAGATCTCGTGGAAGACCAAGGGAAACCCTACGTAGAACTATCATCAGGGAAGGCTCGCTCATGGGCCACTCAAACATCCAAGACCTACAACAGATTGCAACGAACCGCCATGCATGGAGAGTCATGACCTCTGCCCTTTGTGCCGCACTCGACACAAGAGGAAAGACTAACTAACTAACTAACACAGGTAGTAAACCATAAGTGTTCCATTTTACTTCTAACTTAAGTCTGAGTCCGACGACTCTCTGCTTAGTGCACGAGTTCCGTAGCACAGGCAAGCACCCTAAAATACTTTAGGTAGATTTTGAACTCAAAATTTTACACGGGCAGCACCGTTAGGCTACTCTTTTTGATTTCCAACTGCCAAAGGATTTTTTTTTTTTTTACGTACGCAATAGTACAACAGGCGTCAGATCTCACCACCTAGAGACCAGAGGCAATTATTAGAAGACCACGTGAAAAAATCCCAGCCTTTACCTAGATCTATCTATTTATCTATCTATCTATCTATCTATCTATCTATCTATCTATCTATCTATCTATCTATCTATCTATCTATCTATCTATCTATCTATCTATCTATCTATCTATCTATCTATCTATCTATCTATCTATCTATCTATCTATCTATCTATCTATCTATCTATCTATCTATCTATCTATCTATCTATCTATCTATCTATCTATCTATCTATCTATCTATCTATCTATCTATCTATCTATCTATCTATCTATCTATCTATCTATCTATCTATCTATCTATCTATCTATCTATCTATCTATCTATCTATCTATCTATCTATCTATCTATCTATCTATCTATCTATCTATCTATCTATCTATCTATCTATCTATCTATCTATCTATCTATCTATCTATCTATCTATTCTATCTATTCTATCTATTCTATCTATCTACCTATCTATCTATCTATCTGTCTATCTGTCTATCTATCTATCTGTCTGTCTGTCTGTCTGTCTGTCTGTCTGTCTGTCTGTCTGTCTGTCTGTCTGTCTGTCTGTCTGTCTGTCTGTCTGTCTGTCTGTCTGTCTGTCTGTCTGTCTGTCTGTCTGTCTGTCTGTCTGTCTGTCTGTCTGTCTGTCTGTCTGTCCTGTCTGTCCTGTCTGTCTGTCTGTCTGTCTGTCTGTCTGTCTGTCTGTCTGTCTGTCTGTCTGTCTGTCCTGTCTGTCCTGTCTGTCCTGTCTGTCTGTCTGTCTGTCTGTCTGTCTGTCCTGTCTGTCCTGTCTGTCTGTCTGTCTGTCTGTCTGTCTGTCTGCCTGTCTGCCTGCCTGCCTGCCTGCCTGCCTGCCTGCCTGCCTGCCTGCCTGCCTGCCTGCCTGCCTGCCTGTCTGTCTGTCTGTCTGTCTGTCTGTCTGTCTGTCTGTCTGTGTGTGTGTCTGTCTGTCTGTCTGTCTGTCTGTCTGTCTGTCTGTCTGTCTGTCTACATCTGTCTGTCCACATATCTTTCAATCTATCATTCATTCTATATGTCCGGCCGTTTGCCCGTTCACCTGTATGCCTGTTTGTTTGCCGTTCATTTAATATGTCTGTCTGTCCGCCGTTCTGTCTGTCAACCATATACATGATTTATCACAACACATTACGTAAGTATGTCTGTTTTTTTCGTATGGATAAAAGTATCCATAAACACAATAAATGTTAAGGTATGTCACCTTGCAAATAAAAGTGCTACATTATTATTATATCTGTCTGCTTTATTTGGGAGCTGCCGTAGTCTAGTGGCTAGACGACGCTCGGCTGCTATCGGAAGGACGTGCGTTCGATTCCCAACGAGGACCGGATTATTTTTTTTTCTCAAAAATGACCACGACTTCCATGGGTCGACCAAGCCTTGAGTGGGTACCAGGTACAGTCATTGGAAGTAAAGTCAGCCGGCGTGATGCTGACCACATCACTCACCAAGTGCTGTTTGATCTATAAAATATAGGTCTAACCCTATATACCCATTACGCCCGAAAGGCGTGAAAAAGAACCCTTTACTGTTTTGTTTTTTTAAATCTGCCTTGTTTACACACACAGTAATCTCGTCGTTATATTGCGTTCTCTTTTCCCACAGGTGTATGCTTGGATAGCAGTCTTCGTGTTACCATTGAACTCGGCCACCAATCCAGTCATCTACACCTTATCTACCGCCCCGTTCCTTGGCAACATCAGGAAGCGGGCCAATAGGTTTCGGAAATCCTTCATTCACTCTTTGACCGCGGAGACAAATCACAGTTATGTAGGTTAGTTTAGACAAGAGGTTCGCAAACAGTAGGATGTGGACCACTCAATTTGAGAGGCAGAGTCAGTAGGCGGTAAGAGAATAAAGATTAGGGATAACGGTACAGTGTAAATTATATTATAGAGAACTACTGATACTAGAGAATTTTTTTTTTTTTTTTACAAAAATGGTTTTGGCTCCCAGGTAGACCCAGCCTTAAATGGGTACTAGGTATGCCCTGGGAGGTAAAGACGACAGGCGTGATGTCGACCATATCACCCACCCAGTGCCTTTTGGTCTGAAAAATTTAGGTCTAGCCCTATACGCCCAATACTCCTGAAGGCGTGGCAAAAGATCCTCTACTTTACTTTACTTTACTTACCGACTAATAAAAGACGAACAGTCATTAGTTGGTGCCTGCGCAGAAAAGATGGAATTAAATTGTATGATAAAATCACTAATGCAGAGCTTTGGGAGAGAACTAAACAAGTTTCAGTGGACAAGGAGGTGAGGAAAAGACGTTGGCGTTGGATAGGACACACGCAAAAGAAACACACCCTGACAACAATATAACTTGAATGTCTTTGCACTGGAACTCACACGAGGCATAGAAATAAAGGTAGAACCAAATACACATGTGAAAGGGAGCTAGAGAGTGAAGTTAAAAAAGATGGCGGGAGGGTGGGGGGGGGGGGTGTATGGATAGCGCTGCATGCCATAGCGAAGGACAGAACGGCTTGGCGTGTGTTGTCTGATAGCCTATGCTTTACTAGGGATTACAGAGGTATAAGAAGATAACGACTGTAGGTAGTATAGTGTTGATTTTGAAGATCGCTTTGCCGTTAACTGACCCACTGTAGAGGCGCTTACAGTATTTTATTCAAATTAAAAATATATATTTTGGATTCAAATCTTAATTTAAATTTCCTATTTTACTTTATATTAAAAATATTTTTATATTAAAAATTACTGTTGCCTTGACAATGTGTCATATTTTTACTTCTTTGTGTAACATAAAATAAACGTTTACAAAATAGTTAATTAAAGGTGTTTATTTCACAACAATTAAAATACTCAGCATATAACTTAAATGACGCCATGTTTATTTTGTCAAAAGCTCATATATATATATATATATATATATATATATATATATATATATATATATATATATATATATATATATATATATATATATATATATATATATATATAAAAGTTGCGCCATGACCTAATAAAAGTTTTATCTTTTGTTTTCTTGCCAGAAGATCGAACGTCACACTCGTGTTCTGATCGGAAATCTCCTTACAGACAGTTGGAATTGATGCGCTTGCGAAGCCTTAACAGTTCTCCGCCTCTTTACTGCAACAAAGAGTTTGGCAGCGAAATATGATTCTCAGAATGGTCATTGTACAATGCCAGACTTCAATAGTGCTACAACGGTGATACACAGAGCGCGTATCAGCCAAATTTAGAATTAACAACCTGGTCACGGGCCAAATATGAAAAAATATATAAAAACACTTAGCTTTCCTCGCAACAATATATTTCTTTTGGGCATAATCTACGATTATAATCCCTTGCAACAGCTCTGGTGAGACATACGCACCCACCGAAGCGCTTCTATATATTCTTCAATGTGTATGTTTAAAGAAAAAGAGCCGGTGTCGCCTTATACAATATTTATCGATACGATATTTATTTTGCTAACATAGGCTGTCTTTTAATGTCTGAGTTGTTTTCGCAACCCGTGTTTCACTAGCAGGATCAAAGATTTGCCGTCATCATTTTCTAGTTATAACTGATTAGGTTATCACATTTTAAAAAAAATGTTATTTAGACATTTTGTTTTTATGCACACGAATGTATGTTGTGTGCTCTGCTATTTTGTGAGCTTGGAAGTCAGATTATATTGTAATTTTACATCAGCCTCGTATGACAGTAGAATGTGTTCGGCGAGCCAGCTTAGACTCAGGGTCATAGTTTTCCCAGCCCTGATCTAGACGTCACATTGCTACTGGAAAATTCAAGTTATCATAAGTAACAAATAGAGTGTATGAAAAATTTACAAGAGACGAATACATTGTCAATGCATGCAAACTGGTAGATAAGACTGGTTTATTAAAGCCTTTAACAGCAGTTTGGCAACAAGCCGTTAGAGATGTATAATCGTTAATTTGGTTACGGCCATACCCGTTAAAAATACCTGTTCTCGTCCGATCAACGATGAGAACCAACGTCAGACGTGGTTAGTACTTAGATGGGTGACCGCTTTAAAAACCACGTGTTGTAGACACTTTTGGTAAACGGTCAAAATGGACGCTAGGCAGGGGCACTGTTTGGAGCCGAGTCAAATTTGTTGCTGCTGTCAGACGGTGGCAGATGCATTTTTTTGCTCCATTTGTAGACTGGATATAGTTTCATCGCCCAGCTTCTGAGTTGAATGCATGGCGTGACACTGTGACCTGCGGATTTCATTTGGAATGTTTTCTCGACTGTGACAAACCTGGTGGTGTGAATTGTAGATTCAGAAAATGGCCCGATGCCTGTCGTTGCAATGTTGGTGGTGCCCGTATGTGATTAAAATTGATTGCATGGGCAACTGCTGATTTGTTGGTGACTTCTGTTACCATCAATGATGAACTGCATTTCTAATGTCGGACTGTTTGTGTTAGTACTTAGAATGGCTACCGTATGCTTTAATGCGTGTGTATGCTAGATATGCTGAGACAACAGCGGGTCAATATTTCCACAAGGGACTGCGATAAACATTCCGTGTGTTTTTTGTTGGCACAGGAGCGAAGCAAAGATGGGGTGACCCGTTTGCTATGAAGCTGAAACTAGGACTACCAGATGTATAATCAATCGACGCTTACGTATAATGGAATTCACATAGTATGACACAAAAATCACTGTCAATAAATACAAAAATATAAATAGCAAAGATCGCTTGTAGAGTATACGAACAAAGTTAGCTGCATATGCTTTTCACGACTTTACTAATAAACACTATCATTTATTTGATGGTATATAGTTTTGTCTGACAATTTTAACTTAAGTAGTTTGCCACTATTTTCTAAACGGTGTTACGATTATGCAGTTGTCTAAATCAGCGTAAACCAGCATGCCGGTTGGTTGGTTGGTCGATTAGTTGGTCGTTTGGCTGTTCGGTCGGTTAGTTGGCTAAATGTCAGTCTGTCTGTCTGTTGGGTTTAATGTTGTTGTTGGTTTGTTGGTAAATCCTCTGAAATAAATAATCTAAACTCTGATGCATTGGATTAAAATCCTCTGAACTCTTCAAAAATGACATTCTATCGGGGTTTGCATGCATCAGGGGAACATTCCGTTACATCCGACACCGAAGGACCATCTCCATGGTGAATGGTGTTGTAGAGCTCGCCTTCTTCCCCTGTCCAAGATCAATATTGGAACGCGATTAGGATGTAAATCGAACAAAGGAGAAGGAGATAGATATGAGGAATTGCAAACGAAACAGGAGAAAGAAGAAAACAATTGAAGAGGAGAAAGAAAAAGAACAAGAACAAGAAGGAAAGAACAAGACTAATAGTAGCAATTATAAAAGATATAATATAAGTAATAATAATTATGAACAGTAATGATATTAGTAATAATATTAATTATTAAAGTAATAGTATTAGTAGTAGTAATATTAATAATAGTTGACGGCTCACAGCTCAATCTATATAATCCAGTATGGAGAACAAACTGAAGTACAGTGGCTCGCATGTATAATTGATATGTAGTGACTGTACTCAGATTTAAGAATAAATAAAGGACCATTTTCTTAGCCACGAGGCATTAATAAATATATTGTGCTAGTCTTGTCTTGTTGTTTTTTAAATTAAATTGACCAAACGTCATTCAGTGGGTCACTTGATCAATAGCAAACCGGCCGTTTTTACATATCCTAAAGAATTTCTTGAACCCCATTTTGGCCCGAAAGAATCTCACGTAAAAAATACTTTGGCAGTTGAAAATCTAAAAGAGTGGCCTAACGGCGCTGCCAGGGCAAAATCTGGAGTTAAAAATCTACCCAAAGTATTTCGGGATCCTCGCCGGTGCTACAGAGCCTGTGCACTGTGCTGAGCTTCTTCGGACTCAGACTTGAGTTAGAAGTAGAACGGAACACTTATGGGTTACATCCGTGTGCCATGATGTTGATCCGTTGTTCAAAACCTCAAACCAGAAAACAATTAAACATTCTGAGAAATGTTCTACTCTCCCCTTCACTCACTTTTAGGCTTGAATATGAGTCAGTTATCTGTTATAGTGCATCTGTTAGCAGTTATATTGTCTTTTGGCAACAAGACCGAAATGGGTATTCCTTCAGACTTTGTTTTGCCTGGTGGCTTATTTTGCACCGGTGTAGTTACCTCTTTCCACGAAAATGGTTGGAATTCGGCTTGTTGGACAGCACTACAAATCTGTTATAGAAACTCGTGGGTATTTTGTAAGCAGCACCCTTTGCTTCCCCACCAAATGCAGCCCAGCTTCCAAATCAGAACTCCAGTATTGACGTATGGAATGAATTCAGTGCTCTCGTTAGCCAAGCTCTTGAGCCACTATAACACACTTACATGCCAACTTTGTCGGCAAGTATTTATATTTAATTGTCCTTAGCGGCCTGTAGACTGTCAGTTCAACATCGTTTGTGAAATGAAACAAAGAACAACGCAAAAGATCATCTGTATGTTTGTTACAATTGTTTCATTACTGTACATCTTTATTGATTGTTAATCACTTTTTGAATATATTACTGAGTGTGTTTTATAGTTTACTGCTTTGCTTTATACAATATTTATTATTACTAATATTGTTCTGTTGTAAATATTACCTCTGAATATATGTTGACAAGAGAGGTTGAAGGTGTTGTTAAATTCGTGCCCTCAAATTTTAACAGAAATCTTAAAACTCCTGTACCGATCAACACAAATTTTTACAAGTGGGTTAAGACTTTCAATATCCTTAGAGACTTCACAGTCAAAGCAGATGCTGATCCAA